GGCGGCGTCCCGACCCCAGGGGAGAGTCCTCGACCGCCCCGTGCTGCTCCAGGGGACGCGCTCAGAACGGCTCCCCCAAGCGACGCTATTTATGGCCCGCCGAACCCGATCCGTGGTCAACAGCGGCCCCCGTTGGCCAAAGGCCCCAACTACGGTGAAGCCCCGAGAGCAGGGGCACTCCCCAGCCGCGGCGGTTCAGCTGCCGAGAAGCCCTGTCCTGTCTTCACTGGGGCTTGGGGGGGCACCTGCCACACAGTGCACCCCGTGACTGCACTCATGATTCGGCTGCTTCCCCTGAAGCGGTGCCGCAGTCACCTAGCGATAGTTTTGAGTCGACAATAATAATAACAGCTAGCAATATTTTTTGAGTCCTAAAAGTTTCAGTGGAAGCACGGTGGGTTTGATACGTTTCTATCACACACAAGAGAACTTCAGGACCCCCCAGTCCTGAAAGACTCTGCCAGCAAATCAAGGAGACATGCTTTCCTCCTTGTTAAAACCAAATTGTGTTATCGCCTCTGGTTGAGAAATCCTGTAAACACTCAAAAGAGTGCCTGAAGCAAAGGGGCTGAGCACTTCCAAAAGACCCACAGCTAAAGTGGGAGCTGGAGCCCATCTGTCCCAGAAAACACCTGCAGTGTCTGCTGGGCAACACGGCAACGGAGTTCAGGGAACATTTTGTTTATGTATGTTTCCTGGACAAATTAAAAAAATATATTTACACGGGAGGGACAGTTGGGAAATAATCAATTAAAAAAGCTCTTCTTGTCGCTCAACCAGAAACAAACCCACTCCTATCTACCCTTCATTAGCAAAAGCCAGTAAGATATCTTCTGACCTTTATTTGACCTAGATGGATGGCTGCACGTTCTCCTCCCAGTCAGATCAAGACTGTGCTGATCCTGGAAAGGTAGAAAATATCATAAAATCCTAATAAAATATTATCCAATCATCTGAGCTCAGTCAGGAAAGACATCCTCTCATATCTTGTTTCACAATCATGCTATTCAGCTAGTATAATCCCTTGTTAGCTTCATGCAGATGTAATGAGTTAACGAGAATGCTTGGCATAAGGTTTGTTGGTGTCTAAAGGTTCCAAAAACATCCTTCTGTGTTAGTGTGGTGGTCTGACCTTGGCTAAATGCAAGGTACCCACCAAGTTGCTCTATTTCTTCCCCCCCCTTCCCCTTTTTTTTTCTCAACAGGTCAAAGGAAAATAAGATAGGAAAAAACCCCAACCCTTATGGGTAAAACAAAGAAGTTTTAATATAAGCAAAGCAAAGCAAAGGTTCGTGCGCAAAAGCAAAAAAGGAGAAAATATATTTATTCTCTACTTCCCATGAAGAGGCGATGTCGGGCCTTCTCAGGAAGCAGGGGGCTCTGATACACGTAGTGGTTGCCTGGGAGGACCAAGGGTGACCCCACCCCCTTCCTCCTTTCTCCCAGTTTTATACTGAGCAGATGTCATATGGTCTGGAAAATCCCTTTGGTCAGTTCAGGTCAGCTGTCCTGGTTGTGTCCCCTCCCAAGATCTTGTCCATCCCCTCCCACTGTGGGGGGAATGTTGGAAAGAGCCTTGGTGCTGTGTAAGCCCTGCTCAGCAGTAGCCACAACACCTGGGTGCTACCAACACCCTGCCAGCTCCCAGCATAAAGCACAGCACCATGAGGCTGCTATAGGGGAAAACCAATTCCGCCTCAGCCAGACCCAGTACAGTCAGTGATTTTAGATAATTCATAAATGCCATGAATAGATGCCAGTCAACACTTTGAGCAATCAAAGTGACTTATGGATTTTAATGCATCTGATAAATCAAACATGGTGGTCACCAAGCACTGGTGAGTATTCATGTTCTAGTCAATTTTTAATTTCCAGGAGGCTGGGATTTTATCAGTTCCTGCCAAAAAGAGGCATGGCATGACTCAATGCTATACACCAGTCTCTCTGTTAAAGGGAGGTACACCTCTTTGCTTCAACTGGAAATGGATGTTTAAACAGTTTGAAGAACAAGAGTATAAAACAAGATTTAAAACGCAACAAGAGAGTGCAAAAGGAAAGTTGGGCAAGATAGCTACAGCAGTTGCAACAAACTTTCTGAACTGTTCATCCAAAAAACAGTTCACCTGAAGGATAAACAACAGTGAAACAGATGAAAATAAAAGTCAGATTAAAAGAAGATTACAAAAATACAGAGATTCTGGACAACTCCTGCTTTCAGGTATTCTGGGTTTTTTATTACAATAAGAAGAGCAGTGTCAAAAGTTTAAAAAGAAAAATAATCTCAAGAGAAAAGAAATACTTCTGCCTTGATTTAGTGGAAAAGTTAATGCTACCTGCTTCAAGGAGCTCTGGGTATCAAGATTGAGAGGGTTGCTAGACCCAGTGCAGTGTGGTGATGGCCTCAGCGTCTGGGTACTTCACCACGCTCTGAGCCTGCCCGATCACCTTCCCCTCCAAGTAATACACCTTCAGAATCCAATGACTCTGGAAACAGGAAGGACAGGAGTGTAGCCTGGCTTCAAAAATCTCCTTGCTGGGAGACTTCCCTGAGCAGCAGAGGCTAGAGTTGCCAGCAGTGAAACCATTTCTGTAGCCAAACAGGCAGCGAGGTGACAATTTTGGGAACAACCAAATTGTCCAAATTTTGGGCAGTCAGAGCATGTGGAAGTCATCAATGTCAGCCCACTGTAGCCACTGATGCAAGACCCACAGGCTATCTTTCCCTCTCTGCCATTTAATTTTGCTATTCTAGCACTCAGTCATCTAGATGACTTCCTACCTCCCTTGTATATAAAATGGACCTCTAACAGTACCACTGAAGGCAATTGGTTTAAATCAGAAGAGTGAGGACTCTTCATAAAAGTAAGCCTTGTCCTAAGGCTTCACAGGACATTAGAGTCTTAGTCTAGAAGTGAATCCTACTCTTCATGTGAATAAGACCAGCATTGTCCTAAAGGTAACGTACAATTTTAATTTACAATAAAAATTGAGCCCATCATACTGAAATTCACCATCTTCTTGAGCTATAAAGCTTCATAAACACACAACTGGAGTATATTACTGGGCTTTTTTTTTTTTTTTTAGTTTTAGAAAGTATTCTTTTGAGTGAGGATTAAGATATGATATGATATGATTAAGCCTAACATTGTCCCACATGCATCACAAAATTCTGATGTAAACCAGAGATTAAGTCCACCATACTGAAATTCTGAGACATCAACTTTTTGATCTATAAAGGTTCACCCCAGGGAGCAGAGCCCAGAGGGCTGGGGAGCAGCATGTGCCCCCTGCTCACACCTCTAGCACTCCAAAACATGCCTTATTTGCATCAGGAGCAGAGGGTGCCCAGGTTGCTGCCCTCTGCCAGCAACAGGATAGGGCGCCGGGGGCAGAGTCTTGGTACATGTCAGGCTGCTGTCACCAGTTTGGTAGCTGCCACAGGAAACCCCTCCAGTGGCTCCCTGGGGGTCGTTGGCACCTGAGGGCTCAGATCCTCCCAGAAACAAGGAGCAGCTTTGGCTGCCAGCACTGCCTGCAGCAGAGGCGCTGGGGTCTCCTTGGTCCCAGGCGATGCTGGGAGAATGGCACACGGTACCTGTTTATTTCCTTCTCTGAACAACTGACCTACTGGTATACAGTCAGGACATCTCTTTCTTACCCTATGGTCTGTCTTGCATGAGAAAATATATTGAGGTTCAGGTCATAAGAACATTTATGGCTATGCTTATAAACATTGGTTTTAAACAAGTAACAATACTTTGTTTGAACAAGCAAATTTATTTTTTAAGACAGGCTACATAGAAGGTATATTTAAGGTGGTGTTTCCATTTCTCTGTCCTTCTTTCCTTGAAAAGTAACCATCAGCATGTCCCCACCTTGAAAATTTGGACATCCTTTTTATTTTCACTGCAAGGAGAAGAAAAATACTTTAGAAGAGAAGCACTACACTTGGAATTTAACAGACATTTTATAAAGCAGACTGTCCCATGTGTTTCTAGGTGTTCAGTTAAATGCAGTGATACCTAATGGGGAGTAACAATTAAGTACTGAGTTTCTATGTTTTCAATTTGTTTTTAAAAATGATTAAATTATTAAAGAACAAAATTCCTTCAAGGAATAGGAGATATTTTTATTGATTTTTTAAACCATCTGAATGGCAAAATAGTATTTACTCCTAACATCTGGCATTCTTACTCTACTCTGTGAGAGAAAGCATAGGAGATTGGATCTTGAATGTAAACATTCTGTAGTAAAATCTGTATTTGAGGTGGGATATTTCACGTTTTGTGATATGAAGAGTGTGGAAGAGTCTGGTATTACATTTAATGGTCATGTGGCATTGTGTGAAGGTGACCGCCAACCCCTCTCTGAGATGCTCCTTCTCAAGAACTACAAAAGTGAATATTCACTACTCCCAGCTAACTGAATCCAACCCAAGCCGTTCAGAGGTGTCATGGTAAAAGCTGTTGCAAGGGACTGATGGTTGAGAAGACACTGCTAAAGCTGCAGTTTAACAGAGTGTGAATGATCCAAAGCCAATAATCCATCAGTTAATTGGGATGTGAGGGTGAATATTTTGCTTGCAATAGAGGGAAGGGAAGGTTAGGATGTCAATTGAGTGACTACCTGTTTGAAAGGCAGAGCACACACTCATTGGAGTAGGTCTCCCCATCTGTCCCACAAACAGGATTGTAATCCCTTGGACATCCAGGCACACCGTACTCGGAGCAGGCGGGCTAGGGAAGATGTGGAAGACATGTAAGAACATAAGTGTAAGACACACCATCTGAAACAAGTCTCTTGAGCCCTTTCAGATCAGCAGCTTCTGACCCGAGCGCTTCTGAGGAACGCTGGCACGTTCTGGCACAGAAAGCAGCACTCCACAGGAGCTGGCACAGCATTATCAAGTGCCACGTTATCTTTCATGCTCTTGGGGGAATTTATTGCCTGAGGCTTGGCTTCTACAGCCTGGCACGGCCTGAGCTGTGCTGTCAGGGCACATGCGTGCTAGAAACGCCAGCTCCTTCCGACGTCTGAACGTCAGCGAGACACACGGATGTCGAGTCCCTGTGAAGGGCAACCACGGCTTGATTGAGGCGGTAAGAGCTGGGGATCACCAGGGCATGTGTGCCGCGGCCCTGCGCAGGCGGCTGCCAGGCTCCCGCGGTCCCTGAGCCGCGGGGAGAGGCCGCCCGGGGCATCTCCTGGGGCTGAGCGGGGCTACCGGCGGGGTGACCTGGCTCCTCCGGAGCTTTCACCCGCCGTTACCCGCCTCCCCCTGGAGGAGCCAGGCCAGCCCTCCGGTACCTCTGCTCAGCCCC